TCATCCACCCATCTGCCCCTGCACCCATATGACAACTCGTCTGGACCATAGAGAACAGGTGCCACATGGCAACCTTGTATAATTTACTTTAGATTTTTCTGATGCACAGGTATACCACTAGAGAGATAAAGGACTTAACTGTTTATGTCAACATTTAAGACACATTTTTCCAGAGGTTTGTTATAGTTTTTGGTCAAACTGAGTTGTTTAAAGCAGAGCTCACATGTACCACTGTATTTCTTCATACAGACAGATGTTACTAAGATTGTTTGAAGGTCACTTTTGTCAGTTAAGCTTATTATTATTCTTTGGTCTCCATGGACTAATTTCCACTTTCAATTAATACCACTTTTTTTTTTTGGAGTATTTTCCAAGTATATTTGAATAATTTTTGATGGAATTCTTTTATTTAATATCTACCTCACTACCAAATTATAAACCCCACTTGGTGAAGACAATTTCCTTCTTGTTTATTTTATACTCCCAGCACCTAGCATGGTGCTAGGTATACAGTAAGTTCTCAATAAAGATTTGTTGCATTGGTGAGTGAATGAGGTTGAAGTCATTTTTACAGGCGGCATATTTTTGTTTTAGTTTTTTTTAAATTTATTTTGAGAGAAAGAGAGAGAGGAGAGAGAGAGAGAGAGAGTTAATGGAAGAGAGGGAAGGAGAAAGAAAGAATCCCAAGCAGGCTCTGCACAGTCAATGCACAGCCTGGTTTGGGTATCAAACTCAAGAACCATGAAATCATGACCTGAGCTAAAATCAAGAGTCTTACATTTAACAAACTGAGCCCAGGTGGCATATCATTTTAAAAGGAAGAAGGAGGAAGAGAAGGAATTGGGGAGGAGGAGGAGGAGGAGGAAGGGGGAGAGGGAGGAGAAGGAGAAGGGGACAGACAAGCAGCAGCAGCAGCAGCAGTAGCTATGTGCATGTGTCCTTACTACAGTTTTCTTCTGTTTGGTGTATTTGGGTAATTATGAAATTGCTTTACCCTCAGGGCTACAGATTGAGAAAAACAATCCAAATGTGCAAAGTGCCTTGCAAATGTTTAGCTTCAATCTGGAAAGGGTATCAGAACTGCTTACAACAGTAATTTAAAGTGAGATGGAGTTCTGTGGGTCAGCACTGGTAGCGTACCTTTGAGCACTGTCTTGCTATTTGATTCCCAGAAAGAAAATGCATCATTCAATGCAACTGTTGAAGGCCTCCCACGTACCAGGCTACTGGGCTTTACAATGTGTATCAACAAGCCCCTGCTTCAAACTAATTATAATCTGATTGGGAAGTTACAGGAATGCTAACTATAGGAAAAGCTAACTAGGGAAGAAAAATAGATGGTGAGGACAAGGGCAAATGCTTGGTATTTCAGGCATTCAGAGAAGCACTACCAACAGAAGTCCCCATAGAAATGGACTGGTGGGTCTAGGCCATTTAGATGAGCAGAGAAGAGGGAGACACGAATTTTAAATGGGAAAAAAAAAAGTTACGTGGCCAAAGACATGGTGGAAGGGACAGCCAGATGTTTTCAGAACAATGACCAGAACAGTGTGTTCAGAACACAGAGAGAAGCCGAGATGGGTTTCAAAGGTAAATCACGCCATCAAGTGAAACTAAGTAAGAGGCTGAGGAGGCCTGTACCATCTATCAGTCTCCCTGAAGCCACTGACAGGTGGTATAATGATAGAAACATAAAAAATTCAATGATGATAATATCTTAATACCGCACCACATTTTGTTTCAAAGCAATTCCATCTATTATTCACCAAAGAAATTTTTTCTCATTTTGTAGAGATGTCACTGCATATCAATAAATGTAAATGAGCTAGCGGTTTAATGGCAGGGCTGTGATTCAAATCTACATCTTTTGCCCTGGCTTGTTACAAAAGCAAGCAGGAGTTGTCAGAGCCAGAAAAACAGAGGCCGGGGGAGGGGCGAGTTGGTCCCTGGGTTACTGCAGACCAGAATGGACAAGCACCACATGAATGAGTGTGGGCTACCCCAAATGGATGGGCCATTTACAGTCCTCATCACTTCCGGAAAGCCGGAAGTACGAACTTACATACGAACTTCTAATCGGGAACTGACTGACATTTAAACGTGAAGCTGATCGCGCATCTTTTACCGGTTTGAAGATGGCAGAGTAAACCTCTTTTCCCCACCAGTTCATTTTGTTAAAGAGCATTCCTGATGCTTTAATTTGTAGGCGCTTAAAAATCAAATCGTACTGTAACTATTGGGTTATAACTCCAGAGCATTTTCTGGTCATCTGTTTCTAAGAATCAAATGGTTAATGTAGAGATTCATCACTACCTTTCCATTGATTATGTTTTTGAAGGGGCTTGCAACCCAGTTTTCTTGTACTGCTGTTTAAAATTCTCGTTACCATTTATTTTATTCAAATCCAGTAATCCTCACTTCAGCCGTGAATAACTGACTCCTACTCCACATACTGAACACGGTGTTAGCATAATAGCTTTAAAATGCTTCAGAGATTTTACACAAAAGTCTTTTGAAATTATGCTCAAACTGAAGAATGTATCTTTTTTCTTCCTATCAGTTTATCTTTTTCTCTCCCAGAAGAATTTTTTTATGAAAAGGTTTCTAAAATGAAATGCTTCTCTCCCTTTCCTAAGAGACTGTGATCTATCCTAAACACAAGAGAACACAGTGAAAGAACAACAAAACCTCAAAGATAGCAACAGATCGATGTCTATTGTTTTTTTAATGTTTGTCTATTTTTGAGAGAGAGAGAGAGAGTGTGAGCAGGGGAGGGGCAGAGAGACAGAGGGAGACACAGAATCGGACAGAGGCTCCAGACTCTGAGCTCTCAGCACAGAGCCTGATGCTGGGCTTGAACCCGGGACTGGTGCGATGGTGACCTGAGCTGAAGTCAGACGCTAAACGGACTGAGCCACCCAGCACCCCATTACATTGGTACCTGTTAAATCAGAACTCTTGACAAAGAAGCAATGTGTACCCCGTGGGAGAAATAGTCATTGGTCTCAAGCAAAACAGATACCCAACATTTTGATGAGTAGAAAAAGTCTAAGTCTGTTTCATATGAAGTGAAATCCCAATCTGCTTCTTCTTCGTCTTTTTTTTTTTTTTTTTTTTTTTTACTATTTTAACTCTTCGTCAATTCTTTAAAAAAAATTTTAAGTGTTGCCCATGCTACTTGGTAATTCATCTGTCAAAAATATCCTTTGTTTGGGTGCTGCTTTCACCAGGTGAAATAGAAAAAAAAAAAAACATTTTGATGCCACAAGAATAAAAACCTAAGTGTACACATTGTATATACTTTTAGGAAATAATAGGATCATGGCGGGACATGCAAGATGTCCTACGGAGTTCCTGCCTCCCTTGCAGATACCTCAAGGAAATTCTCTAGTATTAGAATCCACCTCCAATCCAAGGGAATGAAATCTTACTGGTTTTATACAGAAGACTTTTAGGATTGAGATTTTGTCTGGCAAAAAAAAAAAAAACAAAAAAGAAAAAGAAAAAAAAAATTGCTGCCTAAAAAAGTTTCAAAATCACCGGTCTTGACATTATTTTTTTTCCTTTTTCCAATCAAATGGGAACCATTCCTTATACCCAGGTCACATTTTGCCTTAAACAAGGCCTTCTCTGACCATTCAAGAAAATCATTCTTGTCGAATGTACTTATTTAACTCTCTTAGTTTTACTTAATGACACCGCATCTTGTATTTTTATTCAGTTACCCACAAGTCTTACTTTGTCCACTGGCTTACAGTCCTTGGCACACCAAGAGCATATTTCATTTTATTATGTATATTTCATGCCACAGAATACTAAGGACAGGTCCTGTTTTCTAGAAATTAGGCAACTAGGAAAGAGGGGGCAACTCTCCCTTGTCCGGGACCATCCATGGTTGTGACAGAAACTTCACCGTACCTTCTGATAACTTCACTCCGTGGCCCCAGAGGAGGGCCCACCACAGTCAAAATGGCAGCGTAAGAGACTGTGGTGTGGCCATCCCACCCAAAAGGCATGTCTCTCTGGGCTATGAGGGTGGGGGCCAGGGGCCGGAGAGTCACGTGCTCCACCTATAGGACAGCACAGATGTGTGTGTGTGAGGGGAGGCAAGGATCTCAGAAGACCAACCTCAGATATGCTGCATAAATATGTAGACCAATGCCAACTATAGTTATTGGCTCTTTCACATTTTATCCTCCATTCTGTCACACCTGTACCACTTCCTATCATTTCTGAATAAAGAAATTACCTTAATAAAGAAAGATAATGTGTCCTTGCTCCTCCTCTCTTTCCCATAGTCAGTAAATAATGCCCTCTTGTTTCCTGGCCTCTTGTAGGCACACAAGGTATGGAGTTTCACAAAGGAAGTAGAGGATGCTAAACCAGAAGATAAGGGTTTGACTCCATTTCATCAAGACCTAATTGAGTGACCTGGGGCAAGGCAATTTAGCCAGAGCTCACTCTGTATATGAAAAGGGGGTGGGGCTAATATTTACTTTTAAGCTTAATTCATTTTTTTAAATATAAATGAATAAGCACTTGCCTAGCACAGTATCTGACTCATGGTAGGTATTCAATAAATGCAATTTGAGTTTGAATTTCAAGCTATAGTTCCTTTTGCTTATTTTTCTTGATCCTTTAGGTGCACAATCACACTATTCTCATTTAAATCCATATCCTTTTTAAGCGGCATGATTTTGGATTGCTTTCAATTATGTCTTTTAAATCTCCGTACCTACCAGACCAGTTTACTATAGACCCTGCTGTACATTAGAATCTCTCGGAGAATTGTTAAAAAATAACAGTACGTGAGCTCCACATCCAATCAACCGAACCTGTAACTCTGAAGATAATCACAAAATTCGCATCCAACGTTAAATGAAAAAGCAAGGGGAAAAAGAATGGCTAACAATGCTTCATTAAAACCAAGCCCAAGTAAAAAGCTTAAGAATTACTGCACAAAGTATGTAAGAGTGCGAGAGGGATCTCAATCCACTTACCTTTGTTATTGTATACATCTAAATAATTTGGTGCTGAAAAAATTGTAATTAGAGAAGGGAAGCCTGTTGTTTGGCTTTTCCTGTACATGCGATACCTAAAAACAACAAACACAAGTTAAAACAAGGCTATTATGAAAAAAATGATATCAAATTATAGACTTAGCAATAGAAAATTAAAGTTATGTTTTATCACTCCAAGAGAACTCAATTACATAACACAAAACAACATTTTCTCTATAACGTCTGTTTTACACAGACATCAATTCATCTTAAGGTTGACAATGAAACATGTACCATTTCCGAGGAGGCCTTTCCTGAATTTAACAGACTGAGGGGAAGGGTGGAATTCAATGCAAAGTCATAATTCACTCCCGTGTGTTCAACAGAGATGACAAAGGTTACTTATTGCATGAAGATATCCCGCACCTCCCATGTTTTTGAGAAGTTTACCAACATTTTTGACATGAGACTAAATAAGCAGAGTAATATATGAATCTTTACCACTAATAACCAAGCTGATTATTCTATTTATTTACAATATCAGCAATATTCTGTTACAGTCTTGACTAAGTGATTTGCTTTTCAAAGAATGGTTAAATCTATGGGTTTTACATAATGAAAGTTGTTTCTATTTTAGAATATCTTTATTAACCAGTCTCTTCTGGGGTCTGCAGGTCAAAGATTATTGTCTCAGCAGGGTAATATTTAATGAATCAATAATGAAACAGAACATCTGTAAGATCTTTGGGAATAAACTGACAATCCAGTTGCTTTTGTTCTACTTAGATAAAAATAGGATTCCAGTTCTCAAATAATTAAAAAAACATACAGGAAACTCTGGCTCTTTTCCATTAAGGTAGTATACGTCATGACTTCTATGTAATAGATTTTAGTAATATCAGCTTAGAAAAATTAATAAAGCACAAAACAAAATGTTATCATTCCTTGGGTATTTTGTGTCAGTTATTTCTGGCTGAATAACCATGCCTAGTTTTAATTGGGTACTAAAGGGACCTCAAATAGTATCTTCAGATAAATGAATAACCTCCTGAAAATTTATAATTTTAAAAATATTTTGATACTACTTTCCCCAGAAGAAAATATCTTCTTAAAAATCTTTTGAAATGTTCTGGAAGTATTTATTCTGCATATCCAACTAAACTTCACTGGGAGGGAAGAAAAGTCAGAATGTGAAAGATAATAACACTCTCTCAACCTTGACATTATAAATGACTGGCTATGCCTACTTGACAACAAATAAAAACAAAGAAATTAGACGTAATCTCAGTTTTCCCCAATAAATCAATCAAATGCTCATTATGAACAAATATACTAATTGATTTTAACTGATGCATTTTAAAAAATATTTTCACATAAGCAGATGATTTTCGGTCTGTAGTGGGAATAACATAAAGCTGCCTAAAATTCTCAGTTGGGATAGTTGGTCAAAAGAGTATGGTGACACCGCTGCCTCGAAAAGTAAAAAAACAAAAAACAAAAAACAAAAAACCCCAAACACACACACACACAAAAACAAAAAAGAACTTATTTGAAGACCTGATTGGTTAGGTATATCAATAGGTTATGTCAAAGTTCAGCTATGACATAATAGTACAGGATCCAATACTAAATTGTTGGATCAGTTCATACCTGTTGATTATTGCTTGAAAAGAGCTAATTTTGAAAGGAACCTGGGATCTGCCTTGATTTGGGATCATCGGGCATGGGTTTACTTCAGAATGCAGGCATCTCTGTTCCTAATTTCAGCACACAGATTACAATACTAAGTGATCCTCTCTTCCAAAAAATTCAGAATATGAAGTAATGAGGTTAAGCATTTAAAGGCAATCAATACCTTCAGTGGGGCCTACTGAGAAGGGCCCTGGACTTCGAATGCTTTTCATTATGCCATTTTCTCGCGAACACAGATTTCATGCTCTATCAAACTGAATATCTGAGGTTTCTTAGTTTTCTAAGCCCTTATCATTGGTCTACCAAATACACTAATGATTATACTAAATTTGGACCCTAAGTTTTAAAATTTACTCTTACAAAATCATGTTATACACTTCTTAGTTAGAATATAGGATTTTCTCCCTCATTTAAATGCCTCCGCTTTTGTCCTATAAAACTTCACAGGGGTCAGGAATGATATTCTTTAAACAAGAGTATACCGTGCAATATCTGTTAAATATTTATATGTAATTCTCATTCACATTGCCAACCAAAACTGAAAAGTTGCTGGTAATTTATTCACTGGACTGTGGGAAGCGCAGGAACGGAAAGGGCTTAAGAAAGCCAGCTGAAAATTTTACATGTTCAAGCTAAAAATGGAGGCGCTTTAAAGAAGACTTTATAACACATTTACAACCCATTTACAACTCATTCCCCAGGATCCTGCCCTATCTGTGTCATCAGAAGACAATTTGAAGATCTAGTTGCTTCAGGGAGAGGGCCTAGCAAAAGGGACCCTCCATAGCCTGAACAAAGTGAGGAAGCCCAGAGGCAATGCATGGTTTCCATAAACCCACAAAACTACTCACCCTGCATCTTGGGCTTCATGGGCTCGGAGTATAGATAACAAGTTATTGTGCTGTAAGAATTCACATACAGCTGGGTAACTGCCAGAGACAAAAAGAAAAGAGAAAGAAGCATCTGTTATGAAATCATCCAGTGTAGCACATTTATCTGTAACATCCCAACCTGTGCGATTTGATCAAGCAAAATGAAACATACATCATTCATGAAACAGGCCTCTTGGCTCTCAGGACAGGTTTTTTGTTTGTTTTTTGTCATCCTTCCCCCCCACCCCCACCCCGCCCCCATTGGCAGAAAAACACCTGCAGCTCTACTTTCTACTTAATGAGAGAGGACTGGAGATGTGTGAACTGGACAAAGAATACAGACCATTATATAAGGGCATTAGAAAAATGTCCACTCATAGAGAAAATCAGTATCATCAAGTCTACATTGAAACACAGGTGAACAGAAGCATCAAGATAACATGAGAATAGAATTTAAAACATAAACCTCAATTTTCTCAAAGTTAGCACTATTTGTATCTGGATGCACATGTGTGCTTGAGGACTCTACAGAAAGACTGAGTTAAGGAGTAGGAGAGAATGAGTCTTCTGGAAACTGAGTTATCAACTCACTGATGAGTACTTTAATCGATATATCCTTCAAAATCTAAACACAATTATGAATTTCACAGGTTTTAAACTGTGTACTTGAAATATGATCAACAGAACTGTATCTTAAGACTTCTAGCTTATCTTGACTTAATAAAAACATTAAATATATAATCAAGATGATTTTGTCTTTTAAGGAAGGAAGTCTCTAAACCAAAGATGCGAACATTATTAAAAATGAAATTCAAATGATAAACTAAACTTGTAAAACTCTTTGCAAGCACTTTGTCTCTAAGAATTTTTAATGAGATAGATGTATGTCATAAAAATGAATAAATTTTAGATATTTCAAATAAAAGGACAGGAAATCAATGCTCATTTTAATATAAACAAACTGCCGATGCCCACTAGAACTTAAACTACATACACTATAAGAAACTACTCAGCAATTGGGGCGCCTGGGTGGCTCAGTCGGTTAAGCATCCAACTTCGACTCAGGTCATGATCTCATGGTTCGTGGGTTCAAGCCCCACATCAGGGTCTGTGCTGACAGCTCAGAGCCTGGAGCCTGTTTCAGATTCTGTGTCACCCTCTCTCTATGACCCTCCCCTGCTCATGCTGTCTCTCTCTCTCTCTCTCAAAAACAAACATTAAAAAAATATTTTTTAAAAAGAAACTACTCAGCAATTATAAAAATAGTACTTTGAAGAAATACTAAATAGTACATGTCACTCAAATCATTTATTATAAAGAGAAGATGAAAACAGTTTCTATATGAAGGCTTTTATAAGAATTCCCTGCTCAAAAGGGAAAAAAGATACCATTAATATGGCATACCACTGAAGAGATGCTGATTATGAAAAGGATTCAGTTCTTTGCAAAACTGCGATCTGAAATAAAAAAATAGTCATGAGGTGCCTGGGTAGTTCACTAGGTTAAGCATACAACTTTGGCTCAGGTCATGACTTCATAGTCTGTGAGTTTGAATCCCGTGTTAGGCTCTGGCCTAACAGATCAGAACCCGGAGCTGCTTTGGATTCTGTCTCTTTCTCTCTCTCTCCCCCCTCCCCTGCTCGTGCTCTGTGTCTCTTTCTCTCAAAAATAAATAAACATTAAAAAAAAAAGTCTTGGTGCTTTGCACACATTTATGTGCACTTTTGAGCACATGTATGTGTGTTCTAGAATACTTCAGCAATTTGTTAAGAAGAGTAAAAGAAGAGAGCTTCATGAGGCCTTCTCTTCCTAGTTGTCCCAGATCAGGTCAGTAAATGAATGTGAATGCAGCCATGGGTTACACGGTAACCTACAAACTGGAGAAGATGGCCCAGAGTGTCCCCAGGGAAATGTATCTGTATGGTATCTAAGTCAAGAGTTGACTAACACATGTCTTCAAAGACTTTTGTTCTACCTTAGGAGACAGTGAGTATACAACCTTTCCAGACGAGTGTGTCAAGAAAAGAAACCCTAACTGCTGAGACACGGGTGGGTCTTTCAACGATAGCACATATATTTGTAAATTTTTAGCCATAAAGTGCCAGCCACGGGATGACAGAGTAGGGTGGCACTCCATAAATGTTCCTTCCCTATCTCCTGAAGTCATTTTGGTTTCTTGTGCCCTTGAAATATTTCTTTAGAAAGATAATTTATTGCCTGTTGTACCACTGTTAAGACAGAGGGTGTTTGTCTAGGTCTGTCATGTTTTGTCCTTGGGCAAATGGCTTGGCAGCACTTTTTAAATTTATGCTTTCCCTCTGTTAGAACCCACACTAGTCTTATGAAAGCATCATTTTAATATATTTTCTTCATGCTAAGTTTGATACCCTTCTGTGTTTAAGGTTTCCCCCATGGAAATATATGTCTGATTTCTAACGGTAATCTGAAGAAAACAAAATTAACCTTGCAGCAATCTGCTAGGTTAATAGCATTAAGTGAGGAACACGTGTATTATTACTTGGAAGGCACTCATTTTGAAGAAAATCACTAGAAGTTTAAAGGCATACATAATCAATTACTCAAACATTCTACGAATTAGAAACATTTTTCGAAATAAACTTAGAAAATACTTGGCTATCATCAAGAGTCCCATTATTGGTCAACTGTCTGTCTGGGAGACATTAAGTCTTTAATAATATTAGGTGGCGAAAAAACCACAAGACTTCACAACATTTTTATGCTTTTTAATGGAGATGATAAACCGAAAAGCATTCAAGCTAAACAGAACTAAAGAGGATATGTTATGAATGATAGAGTCAAAGATTCACTGGTGATTTGTTCATTTATTAGATGGAACAACCCCTAATCCCTGTATTAGGCACCGGGAGAGGTGCTCTGGTAAGTGTAAGATGTGGTTTCTGTCTTGAGGGTATTTATTATCTAGGTAGGAGAGTAAAGCATGTATTGACATTATGAAACAAGAAAGCAAGCATTTGGGTCTGGGGAGAATTTTTCCAAAAATATCTATCTCATGTTAGATCTTTTGGTTTTCTTTGTTTTGTTTTCTTTGCATTAATGAGGTAACGCTTCTGTGTTTTGTGCCCAACAAGGAGAGAGAGCCCTTTTTCTCCCAGGCTGGTCAGCTCAAGCAAGGGCCGATGCCTCGTTTTTAGCAGAGGGCCAGTTTGATCTCAGTCTCACTCACAGACCTCCATGGGGCACCCCTGTCAGGCAACGCTTGTATGCTTTTGTCAAGCCCAGTGTCCTGGACACATCTCGAAATAAGACTTAATGCAAAGATCTGGGAAGGGCAGTGATACTTTCAGCTTTGCGATCTCCATTTACCAGCATGCATGCATGCACTGCTGTGTTAGGGGAAGTTGTACTCTCTAGAAATGCTTTTTTTTTCCCTTTTCACTTGGAACATGATTATTCCTTAAGCACTAGAGAATACATTTCTCTGAGTAGAAAAGGGGGTGGAAATTTCCATGGAATAGTGGGAATCCTTAGATCCGGGTTTTTATTCCAATTTCTTGTGTGGACTCTGGAAAATTGCTGAACCTCTTTGAGCCTGAATTACCTCATTTGTAAAAATGCAGACAGTAGCACTTCTACCACAAACTTAAGATAAAGACCAAATGAGTTAGCAATATATGTAAATTCTCTAGTCCAGGGCCTGGATGGACAGTGGTAGACCCGTAACAACTCTGAATTTTCTCTCCACCACCACAGTGTGGAAGACAGAATGCATCATGGAATGTAAGTCAGCAAGTCTCAATTCTAGTAGCAGCTGTTGTGTAAAAGCAAGCTACAGGCCTAACATGGCATCCCTTAGGCCAAGTCACTAAAGTGGGGCTTAATACTAAGGGAAGTTTCAACCTCCCCCCAAAGTGTAAATTTTAACTGGTCAGTCAGGGATTTTCTGAGTGGCACTAGTGAGGTAATCTGTCACATGGGCCCTCTGCCTCAACCAAAAGAAGATGAGGTAATGGTCATAAGACACCCTGGCCCTCCCGTAAGGGCAAGTGACTGGCCTGAAACAAGACTTTTTTTTGCTAATAACTCCTTGCCCCACACTCCTTCCTATAAAAGCCTTCCATTTTTGTACAGCCCCTCAGAGCCCCTCTACTTGCTAGAGGCGTGTTGCCTGGTTCATGAATCCTTTTAGAAAGCCAATTAGATCTTTAAACTCAATCCATTGAATTTTTTCTTTTACACTGTTAAATTTATTAGTTGTGACTTGTGTCAGATCTTAAAAGCAGTGACGTCTGGGGAATACTGGATAGGAAAGGGGTTAAAATGAGAGAGGGAGAGGGGTGGACACAGACTGAGGAGGAACAAAGGTAAAGAAGGTAGAAAAGACAAATGTGAGAAATGGTAGAAAAACTATTTTGGCATTAGAGAAAATAGCCACTATTAGACTCCTTCTGTTGATTCTCTTACTTTTTTTCCTTCCAATATGAAGCTATATTTTAGACCTTGAATTAAACCTTACATGTTTGTCTCTTTAACTAAAATATAGCCAGATGACATTATTATTATTTATTAAATATTAATTTATTTTGAGAGAGAGAGAATATGAGTGGGGGAGGTGCAGAGAAAGAGAGAGGGAGAGGCAGAATCCCAAGCAGGTTTTGTGCTGACAGCACAGAGCCTGATGTGTGAGTCAAACCCACGAACTGTAGGATCATGACTTGAGCCCACACTTAACCGACTGAGCCACTCAGGCTTCCCTACCAGCAGACATTATCAAAAGGCTTTTATATGCTTTTATGTCTTCATTTATACTTTCCTTGAGTATTTTTAACTTCTGGAAAAGCCCACTGTTCTGCGAAGCCCTCACTAAATTATCACTGGTGAACCTTCCCCTCAAACCCAGCTCATCCTCAGGTGTGCACAGAACTGTGGCATCTCCCATGCACCCGTAATGTATGTGTCTAAGAGCATTCGTCATGTGGTGGTGTCCATTACATTTACTATCCACCAATAGTGAATGCCTTAAGAGACGGATATGAGTTTTAAATCTGTCTTTATTGTCCTAAATTTAAGCAGCAATCTGTCAGCTTCTTGGAGCCCATATTCAATTGCTGGAGTAGCCTCAACAGGCCAGCCTCGCAGGTGAGAGATGCCAAGGGTGTCTTTCCCTCATCAGGTTCAGCAAAGCAGAGGCACGTAGCCTGCAACACTTTGCTAAGGGATTGGGAGAAAGCCTCTCCCTGCCGCCCTTGGCGTCCTTCCCTTCTCTCAGGCCAGTAGTAAGGGAGACCTCAGCCCAACTGCCAAGTTCCTCCTCTGCTTCTGAGGGCCGGGCAATAAGTCCTTAGCCTCAGGGTGTCCTGGCATCAGCAGGATGCTGTCAGGCTTATCTTTCCCCAGAACTTGCCATGTCTTTGTTTTGCTTTGTTTTCTTTTCTTTTCCCCAGGGTTCTTCAGGTAATTTCATTTTCCCCACTAGGTATCAAGTCTGGAAGGGCGCCAACTCTTCCTGCCAGAACTTTACCTGAGCCTGAGTCCTCACTTGCACCTGGCTGCGGGCGGGCTCAGGAGCAGGGAACAATTTTCATTTAAGGCAACATTTTATTGAAACTTAACATCTATACAGAAAAATGCTGCCCAAGTCAGAAGATTACAAATGGATGATCTTCCCCTTGTAAGTAGCACTCAGGCCAAGGCGCAGAACATTACTTGAAACCCACCCACTCTTCATATGTCCTTCGAATCACTCTCACCTCATCGCGAAGGGTGACGGCCACCCTGGCTTTGAACACTATAGATTAGCATTCTGTAATGTTCACCTCTTATTCAATCTTGTCATTGGGAATGCACTCTAGTGTGGCTTCATCTGCTAACATCCCTGTGATACTCACCCCTGTCATTATGTGCAGCTTTGGTTAACTCATTCTCATTCGCTGATTTTAGGTGTAGACATATACTACAATTTATTACTCATTCTGTTAAATAGACATTTAACAGAAGAGAACATTTAACAGAAGAAGAATGGTGGCTTCCATTTCTTGGCTATTATGAATACTGTTGCTGTGAACAGTCTTTTGGGTGCACATGTGTACACATTTCCAGTGGATATAAAAATAAAAGTAGAATATTTTAGTTATATGAATACTCAGCTTTAGTGTAGACTAAAGCAGCTAACTGTGATTTGGGATGAGTGGTAAAATGGGACCACTCAGATGGTAATCTTTCTACATGTGTTCTATTTCATCATATTTTCTTTTTTTTAAGTTTATTTACTGATTTTGAGAGAAAAGAGAGAAAGTGGGGGAGGGGGAGAGGGAGAGAGAGAATCCCAAGCAGGCTCCACACTGACAGCACAGAGCCCAATTTGAGGCTTGAACTCACAACCATGAGATCATGACCTGAGCCAAAACCAAGTCAGAGGCTTAACAGATTGAGCCACCCAAGCACCCCCATCATATTTTCATAAACACCACTTTTCTCACCAACAGAGAGCCTCTCCAAATGACTGGTCGGATATGTCCTATTCATCCTTTAAAACTCAGATCTAGTAACACTTCCATCATATATTGTCCCTTAAACTCCAATCCACCTCTGTTTGGGCTAGGCCCCCAACTGTGTGTGTGTGTGTGTGTGTGTGTGTGCGTGCGTGTGTGCGTGTGATAATCTCTACATTCCTTATAGTACTACTCACCTTGTCTTTATTTGTCATAGCTTATAGGTCTCTGCCACTCAAAGGCACTGTCGCTCAAAGGCAGGTACTCTAAGTATCTATAAAACCTCACAGAAGGTATATATAATAGGTGCTCAACTATTTGCTTGTTAAATAACTCCATGATCAAATAAGTTCTCAAAAGAATGCCCATTAAGGAAACCATAGGATTTCGAGAGGGAGTAGGAAAGATGCTGTGAAATTCAGGTGTGATTTTAACAAACTAAAAATGAAAGTCTGAACTCCACGTGAGAAGAAGGGAAGGCAGGGTGGTCTACATGCTGGTGACATTTTTAAGAAAGGGTCAATAAGATGTGATGACTGGTTGGTGGTGATTTCAATGCAAAAAAGAAAAAAAAAAGCAGAGATCTTTGCTCGTCTGCGTGACTGTTAGTAGAACTGTTAATGGAAACAGCGAAACCAGGAGGAATCTCCCGTGGGGAAGTAAATAATAATACTTTTTGAGTATTATTCAATACTTGAAAATACTATTCAAGCAAGGTGAGTTAAGGTGAGAATGAGACATCTAAGATAAAGCTTCCAGCTGCCACTTAGTAGTAGAGGAGTCCAGCTCATGAATATAAACAGATGAAGGAGCTAGATTTGGAAATCAAACCACAGAGTTTACAGTTTACAGTGAAGCTAAGAGAACACGTGAACTTCTGGGTGGTGGGGAGGGGTAGAGTGAAGAAAAAAAATGTGGAAAGCAAGAGGAAGACCAAGGTGGGCAGCAGCAGAGGCAGGGTTCTACTAGATCAGTTAGAGGAGAATCAGGACATGTGAGGAGGAAGAACTGGGCGATTTCTAGGTGGAAGCGGCTGGCCAGAGTGTCTACTGCAAGAAGAGAAGGTGGGCTGTGCGAGGGGAGAAGACAGGCTGCTGATCTGTGATTAAGAGCCCAGCAGTGATTTGAGTGAGTCGCAATTTGCAGCTTCAGAAACACTTTTAAAATGGCTGTTAAGATGTTCTTTAAGTCTCAGAGTTTAGAGGAACTTCAGAACGTCTGACTGAACTCACTCCTTTCGAAGGAAGCCAGACCTAGAACACAAAGCTTATGTGATTCATCCAAGACAGACGTGCAAACTGCCAACCTGAGTGCCAAATCTAGCTGACAGCTTTGTTTGGTCTATGTGACAATGAAATTTTTACCTCCAATCTGTCAGGATACTCACACATTTTTTACAGGGTAAATCTTGGTGTGTTTCAAGGATCACAGGTACTTGCCTGGACATTATAGGCATCTGAGTTTGCAAACTCTGCTTTAAGGTTACAAAGATAATGGTAGCACCTGGGGAAAAGCAGAGGCTTCCTTCCCCTGGGCCCCGTGGTCTCTCTAACTCACGGTGGCATGAATGCATGCTTACTGATGTGTTTGTCTATAGACTTCATTTTACTGAAATCATGGCCCAGACATTATGTCAGATGAGGCACTGTGTGGTAGAGCAGATTCTACATAAACGTGTAAAATAAAACTGGGAGCTGCTGATCAAAATGACTGCCAATGACTCCAACAGGTAATTGTCACCAAGTTTCTCTACCACATTTATCACTCCCTTGTACCCCTCTAGATCAGCTTTATAAACCACGCCCACAGAAGATGCCTTCCCGCCTCCGAGGTAATTGAAGACAAAAGAATCAAAAAGCTTTAGGAGAAAGAAAGAGTCCTTTTTCTCTTCCGCAGATAAAGGAGAATCCAGATTGCTTTGCCTTTGCCAGAGTCCATAGGCTGTGGGTTTAGATATTCAGCATTTGTCATGGCTACAGATATTATAGAACCCTCTAATGAGAGGACTTAAACAATCATTTTGTTGAGAACAAAAGTGTGAAAACATGCATAATCCTCTAATTATCTAGTTGATGGACTTTATCTCTGATGTAAACACATCTGTTTCTACACTGACAAGACAAAAATGCCATAACTTTACGTAAGTTCAGCACAGACTTTACTTAGAAGACTATTTGAACAGCTGACTTCGAAAACCAATGGATGGATGTTATACTATGAATGAAAGAAAGATTAATACGACACGCCTCAATATCAAAGTCAAGAGGCTGGGATTTTATTTGCTATTGTATTATTGAATCACAGCTCAGTGGTATCAAGTAAGTAAGTTAAACTCTCACAGTATAATTAAGGGATTTGACACCAGATTTTAAAAATCGAAAAATTGGCTCTGACATATTTCAACAATATTTATCTTTTTCACTAAAACTTTTAGCATATTTAATAAAAGATCACTTCCAAATTAACTGATTCCTAAAGAGGAACTTTAGGCTTTGCAGAAGTATTTTACCACCTTTCTTTATGTCACCCAAGGATAGACTCATTAGACGTGGTGCCCAAATTTCCAAATCATGGAAATGAATTGTGACCTTCCTGATAAATAAGCTCAGAACAAACCTCTTTCTTAATATTTGTAACAAAAAGTATCCTGCGAAGGATGCTTTACAGTGTACAAGACCAGTTCACAAGCTTACCTCTCAATCACTTCAACAGGTGAAGAAAAGGAAATCTTTTCCCCCATAAGGAAAACTTGAGGTATGGAACAAAATTTGCCACCACTGAACAGACTCTGATCACTGTTATGTGGAAGGATGCTATCTGCTGAGTCTCCAGACAGAAGATATGTGCAGCTGTTTGAGTTCTCCTAAGCGGTCCCATCTGCTTACCTTCCAGGGCTGGCATCGAGCATACACTTCAGTGCACATCACATTTGGTCTCTAAGTTTTGTTTTGTTTTAAGACTGTGTATTATAGAATTTAACATTTCTGATTTCTCTGTAACCTCCTTCTCCTGTCTCTCTGGCTGCTGTCACATAAACCATATATCCGATGCTAAGAGAACCTCGTGTAGCTGAGGGTAGTCAAAAGCAGAGACCACAACGGAGGTGAAATGTCAGGGAAATCACGAGGACCAAAAAATCCAGCTGTGTTGCCGATTTCTCTCCGAGTACTCTGGAATGTTACAAAATGGGCAAATCCTCCTATACTGGCAAATATAAAAATTATCATAACAATCTTTCAAAGTGGCTTGTCAAAGTGCTTGCAAAGTAACCCTTTCATTTATCCTTGTTTCGTAGAGAAGTGCTGTAAACATCATAAACAAATCAGACACACGAGCTGATAAAGGAGAACATTTATGAACCAGATGTGCTCCAGAAGGTGAGCACCCGTCCTCACCTGTAGAAGTATGAACACCCCCTGACTGTGTTGTGAGTGAAATGTTCCTGAGTCTTCTCATTTCCAAAATCCTCCAGGGGGTCTGACCACAGGATATCACACATAGGTCCATAAGCAGGTGGTTCTTTGAATCGGTCTAACTAAGAAAAATAGAAAACAGAGAGCAAAATACTAATCTTTGGACGCTTGGAATCCAGAAAATAGAAGTGTTTTCACAGTCCCTGACTTCCTCCCCAGCACAGGGCCTGGTGAACTGCCCTCTCCCTGTCTTCCTGTTGGCTTGTCTGGCTTCCTGCCTCCCCCTCTGTCCACATTTCATCTCTCTCCAGTTTGTCCTCTTTCTTTCTGACAAGCTTGTTCACGTCTGCCTTCATCTTCCTTTTCCTCTCCCTCTTGTCTCCTTAGTTCACACTCTCTGCTCCTTTTTCTCTGTCTCCTGGTTTGCTTTTTATTTTTTCTTTCTCTCTTCCTTACTTATTTGATCTATCAGGGTATTTTAGTCAGCACCAGTTGATGCAACTCCAGGTTTCATTTCTTGAGGAAGAGCTTTTATTTTGTTTTACCTTTGGGCAAATCTCTATTACTACCTCCGTTAAACTGTGATTTAGAAATCTGGATGGAGAACAACTTAATGGTTTTTATATTTCACAATACGACTTTGCGAACAAACAGCTTTCACTTCAAGAGCGGCCATTTGTTATATGACATTCTGGATAGTCACTATTAGGAGCTATCTACATTTTGAATTAAAGTACAAGCCAGCTGTAGTTTATCTTTGTAGGTACAAACCAAGAGGAATGATAACCAGTAAAATAAACCCAAATTTAGCTGGTCATTCTTCAGCTCATAGTTCTAAGCTTTATAGTTTTACCAAAGCCCTCATATGAAATCCATTTTCCAGCTATAAATGTTTAGCAAGGTCATATTTCAATTTTAAAAAGGTGTATTTAGAAAGTAAGAGCAATATAATAACTGGAAATGACATCTCACCAACAATTTTATAACAGTATCACTTTCCTGTAGTTTATTCTGATTTAACTGCAATTAGAGAATCTTTGGTGAAGTTAGCAGATATTATACAGTCTCTTGAAAAAAAAGCATAAAACAGCTAAGAAAACCTATTAAAAACTGATATTCTTCATACTCAATACTTTAATATTTTTTCAAAAACCCACAGGGAAAGGGGAATATATAAGCTTGGCAGCCAATCACATTCTTTCTCCTGAGACATAAAAGGTGATGTAAATAATGGTTTTGCTATACACCATTTTTTACTAATATCTAAAAGGAATGAAGCAATATCTCACGTTTTCAACACTCAATGAAAAACTTCAATAAGCCAAGACCTACCATATTTCAACTATTATGTTATCCATAAAATATTCATTGCAAATTTAGACTTGTTTAAGAGACTTAAATAATTTATGCTTTTGGAACAATTCATCCAAGAAAAATAAGGCTTATAAAAACACAGAATTTCTTTCTAAGAAAGAAGAACTTATTACAGGGGTAGAACAGCAAAGGAGAGGAGTCTTTCTGATTACTATGAATTCCCAGCTAAAGTTTTGATAAAGCAACCAGAATACAGAATTTATTCTGGAAAAGTTACAAAGTGCATTCTAAAATGAATACCATCAACACTAAGAAGAAATAATTACTAAATTAATTAAGTAAAGTTAAGTGTGGTGAAAACTCTAACTGACATAGTGCAAAATGGAAAGCTAAAAATCATTTTATGGCTAACATTAGAGCTTAATCACATATATGAACACTGAACAGAATATTCAGTGAAACATGCTGGAAGGTAAGTTTTGGGGATAGTGGGTGATAGCTTTAAATTTTACTTAACTTATGAAAAGAAGTTTAGTTAATATTGCAAAGAGTCTACCTGATTAAAGAACCCATGCAGAAAGTGAACCACTCTCTCCTTGAATTCCATGATTACAATTAAGTGGCATGTTTTTATCACATTTTAAACAGAGAGGAAATACCAACACTCTGTGTTGATTAAACGACGGTCTCTTCCACTACATGAAAGGATCTCATATTATCTCATATTACTATGTATTCTCAAGAAAAAGATACTTCCATATTCAATGTAACTAATCTTTTGCTGGCTAAAACAACCATTAATGGCCAATGTTAAGTAAAAAAATACCTCAAAAAAATCAACTTTCACTTCATCACTCAATACAATCAATGGAATATCATCATTGCCTTTGTTAGATTGTTATTTTAAAGCTTTAAGCTGTGAAAATAGTAGATTTTCAAAAAAATGATGATATAGACACATTGTAAAGGTCAAGCTGTGATTTTTCCTAAGAGCAAAGCAACATTTTCTAGCTATAATATACTATGAATATACAATGGGTTGCTTAAAACAAGCCAAAGGGAAATGAAAAGGCATATATTTTTTGGCAATCACATATTATACATTTCAATGACACGCCACAGGGTAAAATAAACCCTGAGGTTTTCGAGATAAAAACTCTTCCAAGTATAAATATATTTCTCTTTCTAAATTAAAGTGAATACAAACAAGAGATTCATGATACCTTTAAATCATTTTAATTCAAAAGGATAAAGTTAGCGAAAAGGACAGAGGAATCAATGTCTTCTATTTATTAATGAAGCATGCAGAATGATGAGACTTGGAAATAACAGAACTTACTTTTCTGATATCATCTAAAGTGTTAATCTCTGGAGACAAACCGCCATGTACACACAGGAACTGTTGGTTCATCAGGGCAGCCAGGGGCAGGCAGTCAAAGGCATCCATGCAGGCATCATATACGCGTTCTGAATACTTTATTTTACCTTTTAAAACATGATTTAAAAACAAAGACTTGACTCTCAGGATTTCCTAGCTAGGATCATTTCACTGAAATAAGTTTTTAATGTTTCCTTCCTAGAATCAGACTATTAGCCCAAAACTACACATCGCAAAGTTCTGAAACGTGATTAAAGAAGATGTTGTGAAGACGTATTATCACAGGTTTTCCCCACTATGGGAAAGTGTAGTGTTCCTATGAAACCTTGTGTAAGCTGCAATGGTGTAAAACAAAGAAGTGATTATCATTAATTCACATAGAAACATTTTTGAGCGTTCCCAGATACAAAAAATAACCTCTTAGGCTTTTCTGATATCTTAAGGCACTACTTATAACAGATGCACAAAATAAACAGAGATAAAGCACAGAGGCTCGCAGACACAGTTCCAAGCTGTGGCGGCTTGATGGTGAGGTGCTGAGTGTAGTTTCTGGGGAAGGGGCTTTGCAGGGCCACTCATTGCTCAGGGAGAGCACTGCCTCTAAAACTGCTCGCTGCACGTATGACATTGAGCCCTATTTTTGTTTTTCACCTTTCTTCCTAAAAGCAAAAATTCTTGGGTTTCTTTTGGGTAGCAATAACAAGTACTACTGTAAGTCTTTCATAAAAGCTAAGTGACACAAGACACACTTTCAAAAGGCAGAGAATACCTGTCTTGATCTTTACATCTGCTGTCTTAAATTTTTGTTGTTCATCCATATTTTAAGTTTTTAGTAACTTTTTATACAGCAGAAGAGAGAGCTTTTGTATATAGCCTCACTATTCTTCTGCAGATATAGCTCAAAATTATACATACAAACAAGTAGGAGACCAACAGAAGCGTGGCCATGAAGCTGGCTAATTTTTCTGAATGATCTTACAGAAGAGGAGATGGTGAGAAATTTCCTAAAGTTATTTATGTATCATTGCACATTGCTATTCCCTTGCTGACTTATGTCTAATGTTTTGAGAGAAGTCTCTGTACTCCATTGAAAATGAGCCTAAATGACAGAAATTTGTTTCGCTAGACAGCAGGGAAAATTAGAGAGGAGGAAAATAAAATTTATACAAAGTAGTCCTCACTCCTAGTATTTATGTCTAAAGGACGACGTCATCTTTAATTTGGTCAAATCCACTAGAGGCTAGTAAATCTATTGAGTCCAAAGAGAAGCACAGTTGAATTTGCCCTCCATCTGTTTTGCTTGAGTGATTTGAGGTGAATGGGTAAAATTATTTCCTCAAATAGTAGTAGTCTGGCTTTTAAAGAAAAAAAAAACAAAACAACCTAAGTTAATCATTGTTTCATTGGACAAATTACATCAAATATTAATTCAAAAATTTAGGTCATTTTATAAAGAATTTAGAATTTAAAAAGAAATTCTGAATTCTCTTCATGATCCATGCTTAGAAAGAGGTAAGGAATAACATAAAATACAATAGTGTCGTTTTTTAAGTTTTTGACTTTTAAGCAGTGGATCATACTATGTGCGGGTTAAAATGTGTGGGTTAAAATGATGATTTAGCACATATGGTGTTAAAGGAAGAAGCTTGAAGGATACTTACATTCTTGTTTAAATGTGAAATACTCTGTTAGATGTCTACATTCATGATTTCCACGAAGTAAAAACAGTGTTTTGGGGTAAAGAATTTTCAAGGCCCACAAATACAGCACACACTGAAAAAATAAGAATAACATAAAAATAAATATTTCCCTGTTATACTTAGGCATCCCATTGCTCACATAGCAGGAAGACATGAACCAACGTGCTACTGTGACCGAAGTCCCCAAAAGGCTGGGCCTTATTAAGGAGGATATTAAAAATCAAACAGAAAACATTAGTATAAAGCCAAGGCTCATCTATGCCTAAAATACATACATACACTGGCAATCTATATACCACAAGAAAACAATGGACTTCACAGGGCCTATTGGAAGCAGCCTGAATGAAGCTATCCTAAAAATGTACCAGTGTAAAAGTATGAGAAGAAACATAATTAGCAATCAATAAATAAAGACACCTCTCTTTATACAATTTTTTCTTGGATCAAGTAGCAGAAATGGAAGAATTGGGAAGGAAAGGTAGGACAATATTTGGAAGTAAACAATATCAGGTTCAGGTTGATTGGGATTGAGTCTCTATTTTCAATTATGTTCTCTCCTTCGCTTGCCTTCTTCTCCCTCATCACCTTGTCTTTTATTTCAATGCGTTTGGTATACAAAACCTTAAGGTTTTTTGTTTTGTTTTGGTTTGTTTGCTTTTCTGTTTTGTTTTGTATATTAATATAATTAAACTGAAGGCCAGGGAATCTTACTATACATGGTGTTACTAACTACGAGAAATATTTCGTATACCTTACAACTTTCAAATTAGTTACTTGGGTATGGCAGTTTGTGTAAAAATAAAGGTCTCCTTTGAATTCACTAGGTTTGGAATAAACCAACATCGACATCATCCTAAAGTGTGCATTAAGATAACCAAGATACTCAAGTACTAACATCAATTTCATTAGCCTCCACGGGCATTCATCAAAAACCTACAGGGAAGAGAAAACCACTCTTTAAAAACAAGTATGCTTTTTTATCCTCATTAAGTTTATGTTCTAAAAGTGAAGCTAAGAAGATACACAACCACAGAAATATGGAGGCAAGTCTGAGACTGATTACTAAAACCTGAAACCAAAAAACATACAGTATTTTTATAAAGAGCTTTCCAAAATATAGTAAAATGCAGGAGAATGTCCACTGGGAAAAGCTACTGGTGATTCATTTCTTGTGATCCCCGTGAAGAGCAATCACGTCTGTCAGCTTATACGATAATTTATTAAATGAGTGCAAATAATTATGTTCGAATATACAGCCCAAGCCTTGGAGAAAATACTAATTATCAAGGCAAGTATGTATTCTTGTGTTTTTGAAGTAAAATATTGTTTGCAACTGTGTAATTTTCATTGAAGTAAACAAAAATACCGGTTGACATCAAATTTTATAAATATGATACCTTAATAATTTCCTAATTATCATTTTCTAATTATAGTTATTAGCTAAAGTTCATATGACAAATGATATTGCTATTTCTGAACAGCTGACCAGATGGTCTCTATAAGTGATCGTTAAGGCATGATGATCTGTTGATGGTGCATATTCCCTGTTATCCTCAGTCAGGAGTATGGTAGCTCAATGAGGCTCTAATTGCTGTGTGTCTGGCTTTAGAGGTACACGTTCATGCCTTCATAAAAGGAGTCTGTATTACTCGAACTTGTCTCACATTTCAGAGAAGATATTTATAAACCATTATTAATGTCAATGAGATAACTACTCTTAATTTAAACTTTATAAGGTTGTACCTTAATATTAAAGAAATACACACACACACACACACACACACACTTTCATATTGGTTGTTAACTTTGGATTTCTAGTTTGGAATAGGATGGGAATGTAAAGTCTTTTAAAAATTATATTTACTTATTAAAATTGTTGTATCTGGGGCACCTGGGTGGCTTAGCCGGTTAAGCTTCCGACTTTGGCTCAGGTCATGATCCTGTGCTTTGTGGGTTCGAGCCCCGCGTCGGGCTCTGTGCTGACAGCTTGGGGCCTGGAACCTGTTTCAGATTCTGTGTCTCCCTCTCTCTCTCCGCTCCCCTGCTCACGCTCTCTCAGTCTCCCCAAAATAAATAAATATTTTAAAAAATCATTGTAGATAATGCATTCTATTTATATACTGAGAAAGAATATATGTTTTGGCTACACCATAGCTACTTTTAGAGAAGATTTTCTTGCTGTTGTTGTTTTTACTAAAGTATAACTTATACACAATGAAGTGCACATATGCACATATTTTAAATATATATATCAGTCAATGAGTTTTTATATGCCATACTCTTATGAAACTAACCAAATCCAGTTACAGTTCAGCACACACGAGGCTCCCTTGTGCCTCCTCCCAGTCAATATCCTTTTGGAAATGGAACCACAACTGTGAACTCTTCAGATATGCTCTGCCTGTGAGAATCTTAAAGCAAAGCTATTATCTCTCTAACTAAATCTAAAACACAATTTTCTAACCCTAGTCAAATGCTAGAGGAAACACATTTTAGGGCCCATATTTTTTCTTCTGCCGTCTGTTAAAGATCTTGTTTCAACACTAGCACATGGTTTTATCGACTCTAGCTTTAATTTCTGTAGCTTTTTCATAACTGAAACCTCAAAGAGTCATATGGAAATATTTTATGATATGTTTATCATACTTATTTACCATTTCAATGATTCAATCCACATTTAAAAATGCCTTATTATTTAAAAGATACAAAGCACTTAGTATATAGTAGGGGTTTAAGAAATATTAGCTCTTTTCCTATAAATGAGAAGGAAGACAGGAACACAGAAGGGAGGGAAGCAGAGAAGAAAAGAAAGGAAAAAAAAAGAAAAGAAAGAGAGAAAGAAAACATAACTCAATTTCCAAATTCTTGGCTCAACACACCCTAAAAATAAGAATCCTGTTTTCACATTTTATTTCCTTCTCCCCTGTGGCAAGAATAAAATATCTTCTCAAACGCTGAATCAAACCGCAAATGCGGCCAATATGGAAGAAGTGGCATGGTAAATGAAAGGGCAAGAGTGGATCGGAGAGTGGAGCCCTGCCAGCCTTCACCCTCAACATCTGGTCGGAGAGCCTGGCCAACTACAACACTGTCTTGCTGGCAACCATTCTGCCATCGGAACGTTCTGGAGACCTGTCGATCTTCAGCAAAATCATAACCTGACATAATTTTTAAAAAGGAAAGTCTCTTTTAAAAAAAAAATTACCACAATGGGGGCGCCTGGGCGGCTTAGTCGATTAAGCGACTGACTCTGGCTCAGGTCTAGAGCTCATGGTTTGTGGATTCGAGCCCCGCGTCGGGCTCTGTGCTGACAGTGCAGAGCCTGCTTAGGATTCTCTTTTTCTCCCTCTCTTTCTGACCCTCCGAACTCCTGCTTTCTCTCTCTCAAAATAAATAAACTTAAAAATACTGATCACAATCAAAAAGTAAATGAAACACAAATTCATTAAATAATTGGCTATTTTCATATACATGATATGAGGTGGCAAATTTGAAAAAAATTTTCACTAAAGTAACTGGTTATGGTGGAAACAGAGACACAAGTTATGCTGGCCTTTTCCCACGGTGACGTGTAAATTTACTGCACTAATGACTCACAACCGGACCTTGATGGTCTTTCCAGTGTTACTCTAAGTAATTAAACAAATATTTACAACTTAGAATTAGTTTTTAAATACGAAAAACTGAGCATCCTTTATATTTTCATCCATTTCCATCACAGACCTAGGTTTTCTCCTGTTCAACTTATCAATCTTTCCCAATGCAGCAGTGATAAGGATATAATTTTCTTCATTAGTTTCACTGGTTCCCTAATGCCAGCAGTGCAATGATTTCTTCTGTAATTTATGCCTTTCTCAGTGATGAGTATTGTTGAAAACTGGCACAGGGAAGTCAAGAAAGCGGGAAAAGAGGGAGGGAAAATATATGGCTTCAGATCGATATCAACCAGCCTTCGAAAATAACTATCCAGGCTGTGATACATACCAGCCAAAAGGGATGTCTCTCAGTCACAGGACAATTAAGTGAAGGGTGCACATTGGTTGGGAGAAGATCCAAACTCCCGAAATGTCAAATGTACCTCCTCTCAGGCATTCTCTGCTGTGCCTGACAAGCATGCAGAGAAGCAGCAGAGTAACAGCAATGCGCTACAAAGGCCATCGGTGGCAGCGACGGCAGATAATTCCTTCCTCATGTCTGTGGCAATACTCTAGCACCTGACATCCCTTGCTGTCCCGTTTGCTTGCTATTCTCAGGCAGAAGCACGGAACATTGCCTGCCTTGCTGTGGTTCATTTTAGCCTGGGAGTTCACAGCGAATAAACATGACAGCTCTTCATACTTAAATGTGTTTGAAGCCCGGGCTGGGACCTGGATGTAAGTACAGCGGGAGGGGCCAGCTCTCTACGGAGCTCGCTGCCATGCCTTGCAGCGTAGAAAGGCTAGGGAAGGAGCGTGAGGAAGTGACTAGAAGGAAACAGCTGTGCATGCCTCCATTTGCCGTTCTGAGTTTCTGCATTCTGAGACGCACGCACTCAGACGTGGCCCTCCGATGCACGTGTGCCTGATCAGAAAGACGAGGCAGCATGATGCAATCATTGCAAAGAGGGTGGTGTTTGGTGTGAGACAAATTATTACTCCAAATAAAATGGGCTCTTTCATCACTATTCAAAAGCATGCTTGTTTTATTTGGGCTAACTTTGTGGGGACCGATCTCTGATCTTGGCAGAAAGGGAAAGGGGGGGTAAGAGGTGGGAAGGGGTGCAGAAAAATGAACTCCATGTACTGCCCACAGCTCATTACCTAGTGACTGGAAATACTACCCAGCAGAGACTGATTGAAATCCAAACCCACTCTTCAAAGCTGATTTTGTAAAATTAAACATAAGTGGCTCCTCTTTGCCCAGAGGACAGTCAACAAGAATACCTGCAGGAGAGCCCTGAATTATTGAAATGCATCAAGAACCTTTTGAAAGCTGTTAGGCTAGTACACACTGGAAAGCTGAGCTCTTGTAGGAATTTTCTTAAACTAACAGTGTCATACTCAAAGAGAATATTTTATAATCAATGATGTGACCATCAGATTATAGAGGTGGGGGAGATGGCTGCATGCGCATGCTTGCACATGCATGAGTGAATACGAAAGCATGTATCAGTGTCTGCATTACCGATGTGTGACTGTTTTGTGGTTTGCTTAGTGGATATGGCCAAGGCATGAAGTGTAGTGGAAAAAGCACAGATTTCTTTTTTTTTTTTTTTAAATGTTTACTTATTCTTGGTGGGGGGGGGGAGAGGGAGAGAGGTAGAGAGAGCATGAATGAGGGAGGGGCAGAGTGAGAGAGGGACACAGAATCCAAAGCAGGCACCAGGCTCTGAGCTGTGAGCACAGACTCCGATGTGGAGCTTTAAGTCAGGAGCCATGAGATCATGATCTGAGCTGAAGTAAGATGCTTAACTGACCGAGCCACCCAGGCGCTCTGAAAGAGCACAGATTTCTAATCCCAGCCCTGTCCTTTACTGTGTGTGACATTCTCTGACCTTTGGTTCTCACAAGCACAAACAGAAGACATTCACATGCTCCTTGAGCGCTGTGAGGAATAAATGAGATCATGTACACCGGGCAAACAATAGCAGGTCAGCATGCGAACAACATCCTCTTCCTTAATCTAAAGTTAAGAACCCCAAAGTATTCTGGGTAAACACATTTCATAGAAATGTCTGTTCTATTTTAAATGTGATGATATCACTGAGCCATCCCAAAGCCCCTCAAAGGTCACAGTCTAATCAAAACGGATCATTTTCATAGATGAGGCCTTCACATTTTTTGTTATTTCTGTAAGCATGCGGTAACTCCCTGCAGTTTACACTTAGAGTTTAATTAAAGAGCCGTTTGTGAAGATAGGAACTCTGATATATGCACCTCAGAACGCTCAAATGTCCTGATACTCACATTTGCTATGTCACCAACATCTGGGTTCATACTTTGATCCTTTGCTTTAATTTCAGAAGGTGCATATTATACAAAATATCACAACTTTCGTAGTTCAAACATCTAGATTAATTGTAGACTAAAAAGAAATCTGCTGAGGAGCAAGCTAGTGATTACTGCTTCTCAAGTTCTTTAATTTAAGGAAGCAGAGTTCTAAACAGCTCTAATTAGGAAGGGTTTAGGAAATTTCAAGTAATTTAAGGCCAGAGATATAGAAGCCTGAACTCTTTGAGTGAAAACTCAAAGGTAAATAGACACCAACAAGATTAAGAAACAATATTATGCAAAGATGGAGTTGGTGAGACAAAGAAGAAATCCAAACATGCCAATTGCTACTCAAGCAACATATGATTTAGTCCTTTATTAGTAAGGTAACAGGAAAGAGTGTTGGTTCTGTGATTAAAATTTAAAAGATGGCAAATTAAGTCATTAAAAATATTATGACATTAACAGTTTGTCCAACATAGCATCCCATCATTTGGCCAATAAAAATACATCACTCCCAATGGGACAGTCTGGAGTTTTCCCTAAGAAGGTGAGCTTCAAGGAAGGTAGAACGCCTAATTCATTCATCCTCAGAATTTTACATAGGAGCACTTTCCATATTAAGTGAGGAAGAAGAATTTAAGACTCACCAAAATAATATTTTTGAAGCACTTAGTTAGATTGCAGACGATCACAATTTAAGGCAAGTAGGGGAAACATTTTACCTCCCATTTCTGTTTTCTGCCAACTGCAGTCTTTCTCAAACTTGGCTCCAGACTGAAATCACCTGTGACCATAGCAACAAATTCTGGCTCATGGGATGCAAGTTGAAGTAGTTGTGTCACTTTTGGGAAACATCTTTATTTTTTAAAAAATTTTTAATGTTTATTTATTTTTGAGCGAGAGAGTGCAAGTGGGGGAGGAACAGAACGAGAAGGAGACACGGAATCTGAAGCAGGCTCCAGGTTCTGAGCTGTCAGCACAGAGCCAGACACCAGGCTTGACTTCACAGACCATGAGATCATGACCTGAGCTGAAGACGGCCGCTTAACCGACTGAGCCACCCAGGCGCCCAGGGAAACATCTTTAGATAAGAGGACATGCCCTTTACTTTTTCCTTTTTCCTTCTGGCGAATGTAAGCTGGCAGATGATGGTTGAAGCTGGTGTAGCTGTCTTGGGTGACAAGGTAGTCTTTGGGATGAGCCCAGGCACGCCACACCCATCAAAGCAACAAGGCAGAAAGAGCCTGGGCCTGGGCACCACACTAGGTCACACCAGTTGGGTATTCCCATCTGGGGGCTTTTAATGGAGAGAGAAATAATCTTGTTCAAACCACCATTTCGTAGGTTTGCTGTTGTTGTTTCCTCTTGGCAGATACCAGCCCTAATGTGATATAAAAGTCTTACAAAATTTATATTCAATCACCCTTTCCTAAAAGTTGGTCAAGTTAGCCCATGAGTGAGATTTATGAAGTTTACTCATTTCTTCCTCTGTACTTTTCATGCTTCAATTTCCTTCCTAGTTAATCTTACTTCTTTGATTCAGTCTTCCCCAGTCATGTCTACTCACAAAACTGTCCCACTCTTCTATATTCCAATGGCAATCATTTTCTGTACTTCTTCCATCACAAGATTTAAATAATCAATTCAAATAATGGAATCCTGGATGACTACCTCTTCTGGCTTCTGATTCTACATAGTTTTTTATAGTTCTATTTTTCTACATAGAGTTACGTTTCTAGAGAGCAAGGACATGAAGTGCTTCAAATTATCAATAGTTCTGATCATAGTGCATATACATTTTATGTGTTCAATAATACCGTACTTATTTACCAGTGGAAGAAATACCAAAAACTTACTTTCTCCTTTTGGATTTATATACCAAAATCATCCTTTCTTCCTTCATTATCATGAATAATTAAGAAATGTATGACGCTTAAATACAGAAAGGATGAATAGATCAGTGAAAATATTATATGTATTTTTATTATATATGTGTATATATGTATTTTTATTATATATATGTATATAGACACACATATACATATATATACTCAAATATATATGCTCTCTTGGCATATATAGACTCAACAACTAAGGTAAATTGAACAACCAAAACATAAAATTTCTATGACAGTCTTAAAAATGAAAGCTGTTTAAGAATGATGTGTTTTTTGACATTAAATATTTCGATAGCAGGGGCACCTGGGTGGCTAAGTCAGTTAAGCCTCTGACTTCGACTCAGGTCCATGAGTTTGAGTCCCATATCAGGCTCTGTGTGACAGCTCAGAGCCTGGACTCTGCTTCAGGTTTTGTGTCTTCCTCTCTCTGCCTTTCCTCTGCTCTGTCTGTCTCTCTCTCTCTGTCTCTCAAAAACAAATAAACATTAAAAAAATTAAAAACATATTCTGATAATAAAGTATTATGATGAAATTTAAAAACCTAGAATGAATCTCTTTTATATGATTACTATGAATATATGATGCTGATGTGAGACTTCTATAAAGTTGATTTCTCTCTTAATTAAGAATAATTGTTCCTTTTGAAAATTGTTTCCTTATTTTCTTCTGAGAGCACATCTAATGGCAGGTACTATATCATGAACTCTGGTTCTTAACACTCATTCTTATTTCAAATCATTTATTTCAACAAATATTTGATGAACCCTTTCTGTGTTTGAGACACCATATTAAGCACCAGGAAAAACAAACATGTGAATAAAGCAAGGTTGTTGCCTTTATTTTGAATGTAATTTCTACTTAGGTGAAGCAGACGCAAAAGGGAGGCTGAGAAAGAATCTCTGCTCAAAAGTGATCTGTTTTGTTTTAATTAATGAGTTTGACAAATTTCCCAAGTTAGATGACAGATGCCAAAAAAGACAAAATACAGGGCTGTAAGTATATTCACACATATTCACGCACACTGACCACAGGCACAGACACACATGGGCCTGGCTATCAATTAACAAAGGTAAGCTACTGCCTCACAATTTACAAAGCATAACCAGGGCAAACACATTCCTGCTTCTTTAATCAACTTTGATTAGTCTGTCAACAGGAAATAGAATTACCGAATGGAAAACATGATGTAATTGTTGCAAATATATAAAAGCATATATATAATAAGAGATGTAATATATATGTATGTGTATATATATATGTGTGTGTGTGTGTGTACATATATATATATGAAATGTATCTCTATGCATTAAAAAGCATATAGGAATCAACAGAAAATAGAATACTAAGTAAATATCCCCAGAATTGAGTGTATTAAAGTTCCATTATAGACCATAATTTTCTTAAACAAATAACATTTACCACTTTTAGCGTGCTAAGATAGTGTTGATCCATTTCTGAATAGCTAAGAAGAAATGATACAGACTTACTTCGATACTGAAGTACCCTCTGTCAACATAGTCCCCTAGGAAGAGGTAGCGAGTGTTGGCAGGAGATCCTCCCACTTCAAAAAGCTTCATCAAATCAAAGAATTGTCCATGGATGTCCCCACAAACTGTAAGAAACAAAGAAAATTCATTTTATGGTCACATTATGATTCTGAAGTAGATTTGAAAAATTACAAAAGGTGACAGCCAGAAGGAAATTTTAGAGTCGTCTATGCGGAAACACCCTTTTGCAAAACAGGACAGTGAGAGAGAGACTGCAAAGTTAATTAGTGGCAGACCGGGCTCTAGCATCCAGGTCTAGCAAGTCACAGATTAACTGTAAAAATGAAGACAATAACAGTGATGACTATGAGCCTTGTGCACTCAACGATGCTTCTGCACACACTGTGCTAAGAAGTTTATGCACATTTTCTAGAATTTTTTTTAAATGTTTTATTTATTTCTAGGAGAGAGAGAGAGAGACAGCGTGAGCAGGGGAGGGTCAGAGAGAGAGGGAGTCACAGACCGAAACAGGCTCCAGGCTCTGAGCAGTCAGCACAGAGCCCGATGCGGGGCTCGAACCCACGAACCGCGAGATCACGACCTAAGCGAAAGTCGGATGCTTAACTGACTAAGCCACCCAGATGCCCCAACACATTTTCTACTTTAACACTAACAATGTCACAGGGGGAGTGTTCCGTTTTGCAGATAAGAGAAAAGGCAAAGAGAGGTTCAGTAACTTGGTATTATCTCTATAAAACTGAGATCTGAATAAATAAATGCTACATGTCATTACCACCTGAAAAAAAGAAAGTTTGTATGTATCATAAAAACTGTATTTCACTGAATCTAAAATGCCATCAATTATAAAACACATTAATTTATGTACCACTAAGAAAGAAAACAATCTCCAATTTAAATTTAAATTATAAAAGAATATTTTTTGGTAAGATGTCCTCTAATGTCAGATGTTAAAGTGAAAAAAATTGGGAAATGGAGAAAAACTGTAAAATAGTACCAAAAAAACCACTGGGAAATAATATTTCTTAACTTTCTCACATTTTCCTTTAAACCAAAATTCTTGAAGGAGCTATGTAGTCTCTCTTTTTAAAAATCACTTACTTATTCGGCACTCAGGATTTCATTTACTACTTTCAAAGCCCTAAAAAGTAAATATTATCCCCATTATACAATGAGGAAACAGTGTGGCTAAGAGAGGTTATGTGGTTAATAAGCAAGATCACTATTACAAATGGATGATTCAAGGTTTAAATCCAGATTTGTTTAATTCAAAGCTTTTGCTGTAAATCATCATGTTATACCTTTGGTATTTTATGTATAAATTATATGTATATATTTAATTTTTTACAATAATTTTATGCTTACATGATGAACATTATGTAGTTGTTTCTCAAACACCAAAAGGTTCTAGAATGAATGTATCAGTGAATAAATCAGGGGCATGTTATCTTAACCCATTCTATGCTGCAATCAATTTAATATAAAAATATTTTAGTCTGTCACCATCCTATCCCTGCCTCTTGTTCACTAAACGTGAGTCTTCGCTATCTTAAATAGTCCAAGTTTCTTTCTGCCTTGGATTTCCACAGGCTAACTCTTTTTCATCCACCAGTCACAGGTGCAAGGGGGTCTTTCTTGAGCTAAATGGGTTGCCTCAGTCCAAAATCATTCTTCATCCCCTTAATTTGACTTTCTTCACAATACTTATCACTATCAGGAATTATCTAGCTTATTGATTTGTCTGCTGTTTCTTCCCTGTTTCTTTCTCACTGAAATAGAACCTCTGTAAGGCTGTATAACTTGTCAGTCTTGGTCACTGTATCTGCAGTGCTGAGAACAGCACCTTCCACCCGGTAGGCACTCGAGAAACACGTGCTACCTCAGGATCCTTCCATTAGGCCTTCACTGTGCTTATTTTGGAAACCAATTAACTAAGAAGTCAGAGATTTAAAAACAAACTTTTTTAATGTTTATTTATTTTTGAGAGAGAGAGAGAGAGACAGAGGGCAAGCAGGGGAGGGGCAGAGAGAGAGAGAGGGAGACACAGGATCTGAAGCAGGCTCCAGGCTCTGACTTGTCAGCACAGAGTCCAATGCGGGGGTTAAACCCACAAACCGGGAGATCATGACCTGAGCTGAAGTCAGATGCTTAACTGACTGAGCCACCCAGGAGCCAGGAGCCCCAAGAAGGCAGAAATTTTGAGATGCCCTTGGGATTGACAGGACTGAATGACAGGTTTGCAGAGCGTGCTCTAGTGTAAGCCAAGAGCTTTCAACTTGTCTGAGATGCTTGTTTTAAGCCTTCAGTTTGAAAGTCACACCTTTCAAACCAGGGTGCAGTGAGACTGGAGGAGAATGTGGGACTTCCACGTATCTGATGCTGGTTTCCTTACCTAGTTCTACATCAGAAACACAAGGGGAGGATTGGAAACTACAGACTCCTGGGCCATGAATCAGAATCTCCAGAGGTGCAGGTTTATAACCAGCTCTTAGATGAGTCTTGTCTAGTCAGTAAGACTAAAGAGCATTACACTTTTGAGCCTTTGTGGGCACACTCAGCCTTCAATCTGCATGCTTGTGTGGCTCCCCTCACAGTGGTTCTTTGTAGGGGAGATACCTGTTTGAAAGGCGACTTGTTTCACTGCTAATTCTGGGTTGTGTTAGAGTAGGGTTTACTACTACGTCAAAGGATAATATTGAAGGGATTGTTCTACTGAGTCTAGGAGAAAGGGATGAACCTAAGAGAAGTGATAACAAAGAAAAATTTCCTTGAGCTTTTGAATGTAGCTAATCCTTGTGCGTTGTGCATTTCAGTTTTAAGATAAAAGATCTATCCTGAAGTCCTACTATCTGGGAACATTCACTATTTTGATATCAAATTTCAGGATGAAATTGATTACCACATTCAGGTACCCAAGAGGGTATGATATTTGGTGGCATTGCACAGAAGAGAAAGGTATAGCCAGGTAGTTTCCCTCTATATAATGCTGCAGCCCCCACCTACTGTCCGCCAGGGTACCCGAAACACTTGTGTCCAGTATTAAAAAATGAGGCAAGATGTCTTCTTGTTTGCTCACAGTGTCCAATTCTCCGGGTGGCTGGGTCCTTTCATCTTCAGTATCACTTGGTTTTAACAGTTCTTCTAAAACAACCAGGCTTTGATAAGTTATGTTATACCTTCGCGGCAAGCTTATTCTTCATCAACGGAGCCCTATTTCCCACATTCTCCTAGCTTCCCATTCTCTGCTTCTCATATCCAATGGAACACTGCTGGCAGACAGAGTACTCAACTAGGGGCCAGCACTGAAAGGCCTATCATATTGAAAAGGCTCCAAAAATATAGAAACACAATACCGTAAATAAAAGTATTCCTACTTGAGGCACCTAGAGGCTCAGTTGGTTAAGCCTCTGACTCATGATTTTGGCTCAGGTCATGATCTCATGGCTCGTGGGTTTGAGCCCTACATCGGACTCTATGCTGGCTGTGCAGAGTCTGCTTGGGATTCTCTCTCTCTCTCTCTCTCTCTCTCCCTGCCCCTCCCCTGCTGGTGCTCTCTCTCTCTTTCTTTTTCTCTCTCTCTAAAAAAATAAACTTAAAAAAATTAAAAATTAAAAAAATTTAAAATCATTCCTATCTCTATGAAAACATCTATTCATCTGGCTAAACATTCCCCCCAAATATATATCTTCAGTAGATTATTAAGAGAATTGCACATACTTCCATCAGCAATGTATAGAATTATGACATTCATAAAATGAACACATCAAAGATAATGAAATAAAACATACGATTTTTTTAAAAGTTTCACTTGGATACCCTTATCCAAGAGTAACCTGGTATGCCACAACATGATGGCTATTCTCCTGTGAGCTCTAGGCCTACATTTGTGTTTATGCTGGAGGAGTAAGAACTCCATTAGTTTTATATTGCCCAGGTACACTAAGCAGTTAATCTGTGCAGTGAGAAGGTATCATAATCTTCTTGGTTCTTTTCCCTAAGTGGGGTTGACTAAGTGATTTTTCAAGTGGCTATTCTAACATTCTCAGGACCACTAAATATTGTTCTGTGATGCTTCCATATTTACTACTCTTTGCTCCTCTACTTCCATATAAATTATGCCTAAATAACCAAGCACTAAGTAACACTTAAGCAAACGATTACTTTTAAGTAATTGCCTTTTAATATTGCTTCCCTGCCCACAATGACTCTCAGCCCACTGAAAATAAAACTTTTTATTGGAAATGATGCTCACACCTGAGTGGTACAAACTTCTTATCTAAGTCTTCTGAAGGGGAGTACAGAATTTTGAAGTAGGAAACAGAAAATAAAATAACAGAGAAGATCTGTCTTTATTTCTTAAGGAAGGGAATAGCCTCTATTTTTAATATCATTTCTAGAGAGCTAGCTATTAAGCTTTGAAATCACAGGCTTGAAGCCTCAAATATATATAAATATAAATATACATGTGTATCTTTAGGTGCATGTGCATCAGCATATGTGAAAAACCACCCACCGCAAAGGAGGAATTATTTGGAGATTAGTGGTCAGCATAGCAGTTAGGGAGTCATTAAACAAGTTCCAGACTTTGCTCACTGTATAGTACAGCAAAGTAGTGCTAAAGAGGAAGAGCAATAAACAACTGGGGCAGGAACAATAGATTCTTTGTAGTTGGCTGAGTAAGTTCTTGTAATCTAAAGCTGGACAATGAATCAGTCACAGGGCAAGTCTAAGAGTCTCTAAAACCACCACACTGCTAAGTAGAGAAGATAATGGCCAGCATATTAAGGACAAACAGGCTCTTGAGGAAATAATCTCAGGGGAGGAAGGAGGAAGATAATCACGACCAGGGACCAAAGCTTTGAATTTCCTGACCAGAGATATGCTGGTAACTGTATTTAGAAAGGATAGATGTTCGGTAAAAGAATCATGCTTATATTTTATGTATAATTAGGTGTGCTATCATAATGTAGTGAATCAACAAACAAGTATGTCCATATTATAATTTAATTAGTTTTTCAAAGAATTCCATAGTTTCTAAGGTCACATTGGCAATTAAATTACGACATTAAGAAATGTAAACAGTAGACAGTACTGAACGCACCAGGAG